GTTGGGGTACATATGCCTAACCCTAACCTCTTGTACTTCATATAGCATAACCCACTAGAGGCTATAACATTTGACACTGTAGTGTAGAGCTAGTGTAGTTCCAACTTTGGTTGGGTGGTGCACCTCTCTCTCTTTTGCATATTTGTACTCTCATCTTCCATAGTGAATCCCCCTTCTTCTTGCTTCAACTCTCTCGACACCTCTTTCAACCCTAAAACCTAAGTTCTTCCCTACTAAAGCTATGGCTCATAAGCCTAGCTGTCCTTAGTGTTCTCAACATGGTATTAGAGCTTATGAGCTCCTGGCCTGTGGGCCCATCAGCTTCCGCTGCTACTGTACTGTCTGTCGCGCGTCCCGTGGCGAGCGACGTTTTTTTTTTTTCTTCCTGCCGTGCGCTTGGGGCGCGCGGCGGTTTTTTGCCGCCACGCGCTCGGGGCGCGCGGCGGTTTCGTCGCCCGTCGCGGCGCCCTGGGGGCCCGCGCGCTGTCCCCTCCCGTCGCCCGTCGTGGTGCCCTGGGGGCCCGCGCGTTTCCCCCCCCCCCCCACCCCCCCCTCCCGTCGTCCATCGTGGCGCCCTGGGGTCCCGCGCGTCGCCCTCCCTGTCGACCCGTGCGTTGCCCCAAGGGACCCGCGCGCGCTGCCCTGTGGAGCCGCGCGCCGCCCCTTGCCCTCGTGCAGCTGCGGGGCGGCTTCTTCCCCCCCCCCCCCCCCTCCTCCCCCGTCGTTTCTCTGCTGCACGTGCAGCCGTGGGGGAGGGTATGGGGGTGGCGGGTATGGGGGTGGCGGGTGTGTGAGCCGTCCCCTGCTCCTCCTCCTCCTCCTCCGTCTCCCACTGCTGCAGCTGCCGCTGAGGGGGGTGGGTGTGTGGGAGCCGAGGGAGTGGCGCTAGGGGGGTGTCGTGGGAGTGGAGCTAAGGGTGCAGCACGGGGTCTGTGAGAAGGGGGTGTGGGACAGTTAGGGGAGGTTGAGCGGAGGTCGCCGTCGTGTCGTCAGCAGCGCCAGTAGTCCGGGGGTTGAGCATTCCGGTAGCCCAGCGAGCCTGCTGTGCCAGTCGCCCGTGGGTCCGTTGCTCCTGCTGCTGCTTAGCGCGGAGCCAGTTACTCCTGTAGTCCGGAGGTTGAGTGCTCCGGTAGCCACCGTGCGCGCCGCTCCTGTTGCCCGTGTGTCTGCGGCTTCACCCGTCGCCTCCTATCTCCACTCCTCTCACAGTCCCTCCTCCTCCTCACTTCGCCTCTTCTTCTTTTGCTGCACCTGGTGTAACCTTTCGATGGGTGTTTTGCACATGGTTCTTCACTGCAGGCAGTTAGGGGATGTGTCAGAATATTATTGTATGCATTATATTATAACTGCCTGTAGTGTAGACCTAGTGTAGTTCCAACTTTGGTTGGGTGGTGCACCTCTCTCTCTTTTGCATATTTGTACTCTCATCTTCCATAGTGAATCCCCCTTCTTCTTGCTTCAACTCTCTCGACACCTCCTTCAACCCTAAAACCTAAGTTCTTTCCTACTAAAGGTATGGCTCCTAAGCCTAGCTGTCCTTAGTGTTCTCAACATTGCAGGGGTGTACATAGGAAGACAGTTGAATCCGAAAGGTGTTAGAAGACTAAGCGAGAATGAATGCATTGAACCAAAAAGTTCGTACAAGTATTAACCCTAATTGGGTTGCACCCCTTATGGGCTATTCCACTTCAGCCTACACAATACGAACATTATTTCAGTTTGACATACCCTTATAGGCAAAGTGGGGGAGAACAAGGGGTCACAAGACCAGTCAAGAAAACCAAATCAATCTGAGGGTGGTTCACGATGTCACCACACATTCTAAGCACAAGAAAATGGCCATAAGGCCAGTTCACATGCAGAGTCATTTAAAAGAGAGCAAAAAGTACGGTGATCATAACCTAGCAAGAGTAAGCATGCAAGTATATATATGTATCGATCAAAGTACCAGCAAAGTCACGCAGTGAGCAAGTGAGACGAAGCAGGCACAAGGCCTAAAGCAATACAGAAACGCTGATCATCACCAGACGGAAGTGCCTTAGTGAATATATCAGCAGTGTTGGCCCGAGTGGCCATGTAAGTAAGACGAAGCTGACAATGCTGTTGCAACTCTCGAACAAGTAACGCAGAGCGATGTGCTTCGTTCTGTGCTCCAGTCTATGCTCCTGACACAAGGCAATAGCGGCCTTGTTGTCTACGTACAGAACTGGAGGAGAACGAGGTCGCTCTCCCAAGTCGGTCAGCAGGTAGGTGAGCCAACGTAACTCCTGTGCAGCCATGGCTCCTGCGTAGATCTCAGCCTCACAACTGGAGCTGAGAACAGAAGACGAGCGGGTAGACCGCCAAGAAACAGAGCCGGAGCCAAGGCTGAACGTGTAACCCTGTGATGACCGCTGCGTAGCCAGGTCGTCAACCCAAGACACGTCTTAGTGTCCACTCAGAACAACTCGACTCCGTCCTCCAAGCACGAGCCCCATGCTCGATGTACTGCACAAGTAACGTAGTACCCTCTGTTGAGAGTAAAGGGAAGGAAAGGTGTTTTGACTATCGAGAGAGTTGGGTACAAGTAACAAACCCTATACCCTACATTGGCTACCCCACTACATCCTAAATATAATGATAACATATACATATAGTTTGACACACCCCCATAGGCAAAGTGGGGGAGAACAAGGGGTCACAAGACCAGTCAAGAAAAGCAAAGCAAGCTCAAGGTGGATCACAACGTCACCACACACACCGAGCACAAGCAGAGGGCCACAAGGCCAGTTCACATGCAGAGGTATATATGCAACAACAGCAGGGCAGTGATCGTTACCTAGCAAGAGTAAGGATGCAGGTATATATATGTAGATCACAGTACAAGCAAAGTCTACAGCAAGTGAGGAAACGTAGGCACAAGGCCTAACAAAGTACAAAAGCGCTGATGATCACCAGACGGAAGTGCCTTGGTGAAGATATCAGCAGTGTTGGCCCCAGTGGTCACGTGAGCAAGATGAAGCTGACCACGCTGCTGCAACTCTCGAGCCAGGAAGTAACGCAGAGCGATATGCTTCGTTCTGTAATCTAGTCTGTGCTCCTCACACAAGGCAATGACGGCCTTGTTGTCAATGTACAGAACTGGAGGAGAACGAGGCCGCTCTCCCAAGTCGCTCAGCAAGTAAGAGAGCCAGCGTAACTCCTGTGCAGCCATGGCTGTGGCGTAGATTTCAGCCTCACAACTGGAGTTGAGGACAGAAGACGAGCGAGTAGAGCGCCAAGAAACAGAGCCAGAGCCAAGGCTGAATGTGTAACCCTGTGACGACCGCTGCGTAGCAAGGTCGTCAACCCAAGAAGCGTTTGAGTGTCCAGTGAGAATAACTGGACTCTGCCCTCCAAGCACAAGCCCCATACCCGATGTACTGCACAAGTAGCGCAGTACCCTCTTAGCAGCATCCATGTGCACCTTTCGGTGCCTACCAGGAGCCACGTAGCGGGCCAGAAGGCCAAGAGGGTACGCAAGGTCAGGTCGAGTGCAGGTCATTAGGTACATGAGGCAGCCCACTAGCTCTGGGTACGGACCACTCGGCTCTACGGACTCGTCCGAAGGTGGAGCTGAGAGCGAGTGACCTGTAGCCAGAGGAGTGGACTGTGGCGAGGACCAGGTGAAGCCGAAGCGCTGAAGGACCTGCTACACCATGTGTGACTGAGTCAGTGTGATGGTGCGGCGTGCTCTGTCCCGGGTGATCTGCATTCAAGGTAGCTACGCAGCTCACCCAGGTCTGTGCACGTGTGTCTCTTCTGCAGCTCCGACTTCACAAGGGCAAGAGCCTCTTGTTAGCAGTGGCAAAGACCAGATTGTCAACGTACACGAGGATGTAGAACGGCGGCAGCGAAGTGTCGGTGCGTAAAAACCCAAGAGCCTCAAGGGTGGTCCTCAGTGTGTCGTGCCACTCACGAGGCGCCTGGCGGAGACTGTAGACTGGCCGCCGGAGGCTCCACTGGGTACCAGGAGGGAACGACCCAGTGAATCCCGATGGCCGGCGCAGCCAGATCTCCTCGTGCAGGCTGCCCTGTAAGAAAGTTGTGCTGAAGACAAGAGAGTGAAGCTCGTAGTCACGCTGAGCGGCAACGTGCAGCAGCACCCGAAGAGTGGTCATCTTCTTGGTGGAAGAGAAGGTCTGGAAGAAGTCAACTCCCTGTCGCTGACTGAAGCCTCATGCAACGTAACGAGCCTTGAAGACAGGCGAAGAACCCGGCGGCTGCTTCACCCTGAAAATCCACATGCCATCGACAATGTTCGCCCCAGGAGGGGGAACCTCATCGACGTAAGTGCCTGTGGACTTCCAGGATGCCATCTCTGCGTCCATGGCTGCCTGCCACTGAGAGGAGTACTCTTCCGCGATCGCCTCAGCGTAAGATCGCGGGGTCGGGATGTCTAAAGCATCCGGGTCTCCCTCAGGTGCAAGCAGCATGGCCACGAGATGAGGCACAGCGGCTGCAAGACACTCAAAGTCCTTCTGCCTGTCCTCAAGGACGTCCGTGCCAAGAGCACACTCACCCCCGACGGATGGAGGACAGACAGAATCAGACTAGTAGCGTAGTCTAGACGACAGGCAGCAGCAAAGTCAACAAGCTCAGCAACTAAGGCAGACGCAGCAGCAGACTCAAACGACGGGTCAGTGACAACAATGGCTAACAGACGCGTGACTTTAGGGTGTGCAGCACGAAACCGGTTAGACTCAGGGTCCGGAACGTCAGGCAGAGAGGACGCAGGAGGAGACGGCAGAGGAACACGCTGTGGAACAGAGGAAGGACGTAGTACCATAGTGTGCGTGCCGGGAACAGCAGGCGGACGCTCACGAGGAACACGACGACCAGTACGACCAGTGCGAACAGGCGAGACAGGACGTGACGCAGGCTCACGACGCTCAGCAAGACCTCCTGTCTGCTCAGTGTAAGGAGAAGGAGCAGGCAGTGGTGAGCCAGGCTGTAACGGAAGACCAGTAGAAGACGGGAGGCTAAGAACCTGGTGAAGCACGAAGTCAGGAGGTGGCAAAGACGACGGTCACGCCAGAGCAAAAACAGTCGCGGCTGTGCAGTGCCACCAGCACCAGTAGCTCCAGCACCTCCAGCAGCTCCAGAACCTCCAGCTCCAGCGCCTCCAGCACCAGCACCTCCAGCAGCTCCAGAACCTCCAACACCAGCACCTCTAGTACCAGCGCCTCCAGCAGCTCCAGAACCTCCAGCACCAGCACCTCCAGTACCAGCGCCACCAGCAGCAGCACCCCCAGAACCGGCACCTCCAGCCCCAGGGTCTCCAGCCTCAGTGTCTCCAGCAGCAGCACCCCCAGAACCAACAGCTCCAGCTCCAGGGTCTCCAACTCCAGGGTCAACAGTAGCACCTCCAGGTCTAGTTGTACCTCCAGCCCCAGCAGCTCCAGTACCTCCAGTACGAGCACCTCCGGGACCAGCGACTCCAGTAACTCCAGTAGGCAAAGTACCGCCAGCCTCAGCACGCTCAGATTCGGCACCCCCAGAACCGGCACCCCCAGCTCCAGTGACGTCAGCAGAAGCGCCTCCAATAGCAGAGTCATTAGCTCCCGTGCCTCCAACGCCAGCGCCTCCCGCAGCAGGGCCCCCAGCTCCAGCAGCGCGACCCTGACGGCTAACGTACCACTCACGCAGCTGCTGTGTGGAGAGAGGCACGCGCCGGCGAGAGTGCTGCGGCGAGGCACCAGCGGAGCGACTACGGAGACGGCCGCTCCAGGGAGACTGCTCACCAGACGCCTCAGCACCCCCAGGTGCAGCACCCCCAGACTCAGTACCCCCAGGCTCTGCACCCCTAGGCTTAGCACCCCCAGGCTCAGCACCCCCAGGCTCAGCACCTCCATGACTAAGCCAATGCGGCGCTCAGCAACCCCATTCTGCTGCGGAGAGGCCGAAAGTGTGTACGACTGGCGGATGCCGTGCTCCTCACAGAAGGCTCGCAAGACGTCCGAGGTAAACTCACCACCCCTGTCAGAGTGCAGACGCAGGACAGGAAAGTCCGACTGGAACCGCTCGCGGAGCTGGAGACGAGCAGCGCGGATCCAAGGGATCAAAACAGCAGGGACATCCCCCTTGCGCTGCAAGGGGAAGACCGTGGTGTAACGCGTGTAGTCGTCGACGACCAGCAAGAAGTACCGCTCACGGCCCTGCCCTTGGACGGGCTGGGCCCCACACGTCCAGGTGGAGAGTCTGCAGTGGAGCCTCTGTGGAAGGGAACGAGGAGGAGTGAGGAGCGGCGCGCTGCCGCCCCTCGACGCAAGGAATGCAGGGCGGCGCAGGCGAGGGAGGGAGGGAGGGCAGAGACCTGGGAAGACCAGAGACCAGGGAGCGAGAGTGCATGCCATGAAGGCGAGGTAGGGAGGGGTGACCAAGGCGGTGGTGCCACAGGAGAGTCTGGTGCGACAGGCGGCGACACTCACACTGGGTAGCTACCTGAGCGGACGCGTACAGCTGAGGAGACAAAGGGGCGTAGCGCGACACAGTGGTGAGGGTGTACAGACTGGACCCAGGCGCACGTGTGAACGTGGCCAGGTGGCGGCCGGTCCGAGAGCACGTGCAGATCGTCACACACTGTTCTCCAGGAGTAAAGGTGTCAACCCAGTGATCCTGAAGGACGGCGGTGCTCACCAGGTTCGTAGAGAACGAGGGGATGTGGAGACCTGACAGCTCACCAGACGGGACCCCCGGGCATGGTTGCAGAGTAGTGGACCGTGCAAGCACTGGGCCCCCAGAGGGGTCAGCCAGTGAGACAGGGACAGGTGCAGGGAGGGGAGTGACTGTGGTACTGTCGTGAAAGAAACAGCGGGAAGCACCAGAGTCAAGTGTAAAGGTGTGCAAGGCCTGAGCCGACGCAGTACCAGGGAGAGCAGACTCACTAGCACCTAGAGCTGTATTCTCTATACCTGGGTCAGGCGGCATACACAAGTAGCAGTCACCCTCAGCACTAACAGTCAATGCATACATGGCAGCAAGAATTGCATCATAGTCAAGATCAAAGATAGGAACATCACACCTAAGCAAGTCTGCCCAGTAGGGAAGCTCAGTAGCATCAGGAAACTGGGCACGCCAGACGTCGTCAAGCCTAGAGATGCAGCGGTACTCGGTGTGAAACTTGTTGCACGTCTGACCAGCGCGTCCACCAGTGCGAATGCGGTAAGGGCATCGACCACTACCCCCAGACGCCCCACGCTGAGCGTACCACTCACGAAGCTGCTGGGGCGTGCGGGGCTCGGGCTGACGCTGCTGCTGCTGGCACTGGCCACCACCAGCACCTCCTTGCTGACCAGCTCCACCACGACCGCCACCACCGCTGCCACCACGGCAGGTACCACCGCTCCCACCGCCATCAGTACCGCCGCTGCCGCCGCCACTACTACCGCTCCCACCCCCGTCTCCTCCACCACCACCACGCGCACCGCTGCTGCCACTGCTGCCACCGACCCCTCCACCCCCGCCACCACCCCCATCATCACCACCCCCATCACCACCACCCCCACTGCCGCCGCCTCCACCACCACCTCCTCCGCTGCCGCCGTTGCCACCCTTGCCTCCCTTGCCCTTGCCGCTGCGGCGCTTCCCAGCAGAAGTAGAAGCGGCAACGACCTCCTCAGCACCAAGGACGTCAACAGCAGTAGCAGAGGCGTGAGAGGGGGCAAGGGGGGAGGGGGCACATCCCTCAAAGAGGGGAGTGCGGGGAGTGCCACGAGCAGCACCGACAGCTAGGATGTTGGTCCCTGACTACACGAAGAGAGTCCGGGAGTCTGGTGACGATGAAATAGAGTGTGATGTACATCGTGGGAGGGTTCTTGTCTAAGAACTCGGTCGGGAGGGCGGCGCGGTATCGCACATCACTAGCGCGAAGATGAGTGATAAGGTCCTCAACTGTGTGAAAGGAGGCGAGCTCAAGAAACAGGTAGGGGAGGATGAGGCGGCTGAGGGCAGCAGTAGCGGGAGAAGAGTAGCGAGCGATGACAGCAGCGTACAGTGCTTTAGCGGTTTTGTGCTGACCGAAGGAGGGTGCGCTCGGATAAAGGCAAGTGGTTGCAAATAGCTAGGCGTGCAGTAGTGTCAAGGGTAAGCCACTGTGAGTGAGCGACATTGTCAGCTGTGTCTGGAGCGACTGAGGAACCTTTGGCTAAGTCAAAGAGCGAAACGCCGTCCTTGGCATCAGTCATAAGATACAGCTGAAGATCTTCGAGCCAGGCATCAAAATCGACCAGGCGACCCTCAGGGTCGAATGACAGTACGCTAATAGAAGCCATGGTCACTGCAGCAGGACAGTAGAGGCAGCACGCGAATGGCAAAGGCTGCGTAAGGGCGGCAGGGGCGGTGCGCGAAGCTGCAGAGACAGGGGAGGAGCAGCAAGGGCGGAGGAGTAGTGCGCACGGAGCAGGAGAGGCAGGACGAGGGCTGCTAAGGCAGCGGGAGGGCAGCGCGCGGGGCTGACTAGGCAGCGGGCAGGCTGCGCGGGCCGCGCGCGAGGCTGACGAGGCAGCGGGCAGGCTGCGCGGGCGGCTCGCGGGGCAGTAGGGGCAGCGCGAGGGCTGTGGAGCGGGCGCGCGGGGCAGAAAAGGCAGCTCGAGGGCTGCGGGGTGGCTCGCAGGGCAATAGAAGGTAGGCAAGGGCTGCTGGGCGGCGCGCGGGGCTGACGAGGCAGCGGGCGAGCGACGCGCGGGGCTGACGAGGCAGTGGGCGGGTTGCTAGCGGGCTGCGCGCGGGCCAGCAGAGGCGAGCGCGGGGCTGCGCGACTCAGGGCAGTGTAGGCAGGGCTCAGGGTAATGCAGTAACCGGCGGAAGCGGTTGGTGGGCCCTGAAAAACAGTCCTAAAATGGTCCTAGGGACCTATTAGCTCTTAATACCATGTTGAGAATAAAGGAAAGGAAAGGTGTTTTGACTATCGAGAGAGTTGGGTACAAGTAACAAACCCTATACCCTATATTGGCTACCCCACTACAGCCTACATATAATTATAACATATACATATAGTTTGAAACCCTTCGCAGCATCCCAGTGCACCTTTCGGTGTCTATCAGGAGCCACGTAGCGAGCCAAGATGCTAAGAGGGTACGCAAGGTCAGGACGAGTGAAGGTCATCAGGTACATGAGGCAGCCCACAAGTTCTGGATACGGGCCACTCGACTCTACGGACTCGTCCGAAGGTGGAGCGGAGAGCGAGTGACCAGTAGGCAAAGGACTGTGGCGAGGAGAACTGGAAGCCGAAGCGCTGAAGGACCTGCTGCACCATGTGTGACTGAGTCAGGGTGATGGTGCGCTGTGCTCTGTCCCGGGTGATCTGCAAGCCAAGACAGCTGCACAGCTCACCCAGGTCTATGTACGTCTATCTCTTCTGCAGCTCCGACTTCACAAGGGCCAGTGCCTCAGTGTCAGCAGTGGCAAAGACCAGGTCGTCGACGTACACGAGGATGTAGAACGGCGGCAGCGAAGTGTCGGTGCGCAGAAACAGCGACGGGTCAGCAGTCGAAGGAGAAAACCCAAGAGCCGCAAGTGTCGTCCTTAGTGTGTCGTGCCACTCACAAGTCGCCTGGCGGAGACCGTAGACTGGCCACCGGAGGCTCCACTGGGTACCTGCAGGAAACGATGCAGTGAAGCGAGGTGAGTGGCGCAGCCAGATCTCCTCATGTAGGCAGCCCTGTAAGAAAGTTGTGTTGAAGTTAAGCGAGTGAAGCTCGTAGTTACGCTAAGCGGCAACATGTTGTAGCACCCAAAGGGCGGTCATCTTTAGGGTTGGGGAGAAGGTTTGGAAGAAGTCAACTCCCTCTCGCTTACTAAAGCCTCGTGCAAACAAGCCTTGAAGACAGGCAGAGAACCCGGCGGCGCTTCTCCATGAAAATCCACATGCCATTGACTATGCTTGCCCCAGGAGGGGGAACTGCATCAACAAAAGTGACTGTGGACTTCCAGGATGCCATCTCTGCGTCCATGGCTGTCTGCCACTGAGAAGAGTAGGGACCCGTAATCGCCTCTGCGTAAGAGCGCAGGGTCGGGATGTCCAGTGCATCCGGGTCTCCCTCAGGTGCAAGCAGCATGGCCACGAGATGAGGTACAGCAGCCGCAAGACACTCAAAGTCCTCCTGCTTGTCCTCAAGGACGTCCGTGCCAAGAGCACACTCACCCTTGACGAATGGAAGACAATCAGACTCAGACTCAGCAACAAGACTAGCGGCGTAGTCGAGACGACAAGCAGCAGCAATGTCAAAAAGCTCAACAACTAAGGCAGACCCTGTTGTCAGAATATTATGCTCTAGCCTGCAGTGGGGTGCTCTATAGCGAGTACAACCCTTCTAGGGTTAGCTATTTGTACCACCATTGTTGCTAGTGCAAACCCTCCTTTGCTCATTTCTCTCTTGCCTAGCTAGGTAAACCCTAGCTATGGCTCCTCAGTATACCTACTATCTCGACATGCTATCAGAGCAGGACGATCCTGTTGGGTCGATCCTGTGGGTGGGCCCCACCACCTTAGTCTTCCGCTGCTCCTACTACAGTGTGTGTCGCACGCCCCGTGGCGTGCGACGGATTTTTCATCCCGCCGCGCGCTCGGGGCGTGCGGCGGTTTTCTCCCCGCCGTGCGCCCCGAGGCGCGCGGCGGTTTCCTACCGTGGGGGACCCCGCGCGCCCCCGCCCCTTTCGTTGCGACGTCCTAAGGAGCCGCGCGCGACCCCCCGCGGCCCCGATTTCCCGTCGCGCCGCCCTGGGGAGCCGCACTCGGCCCCCCGCTGCCCCGTTTCGCCGTCACGCCGCCCTGGGGAGACGCGTGCGACCCCCCGCTGCCCCGTCGACGGCCGCGACGCCCTGGGGAGCCGCGCGCGGCCCCCGATTTCCCGTCGCGCCGCCCTGGGGAGCCGCGCGCGGCCCCTC